GCTGCCACAGGTCCTTGATGCAGCAGCAGCTTCCCAAGCTTCGCACGGCAGCTGGTTGGGCCGAAGGTCACTTTGGCCTTGCTCTTCTGCAGCCGGCGCACAGAAAGAAGGTTAGCGGACAAACCTTCAACCAACAACACATTCCCAAGCCCTACAAGCTCTCCATTGGCTCCCATAACCTTAGCATTTCCAACACCAATCACGGGGAGCAAAGCACCTGAAGCGGCAGCCACAAACTTGATCTTCCCAGGGGGCTTTACCTCATCAAGCAAATATGCCCTCGGTGTCATGTGACTTGTGCAACCTGAATCGATCACCCAGTGAGTGAGGGGGTGCATCACAACCGTCCCAACTGAAACCATATCACCCCCACTCCCTTGCACATCCTCAACCATGAGGAACATCCCAGGGTCGGCTTTACCATGTGCACCTTCACCTTGCGCACTTGAACCTTGTACAACACCACCTCGTGCACGTTCACCACTTGGTGGCTTCATGCCTGGGAGCGCCCATCCCTTAGGCCGGCTGAAACACTTGAACCATGGGTGTCCAGCCTTCTTGCAGTATCAGCACGCTCCCTCCATTTGGGTACTCCCCCTGCCACCAGAGCTCCCATGCCCTTCATTGTAGTCACCTTGGCCTCTCCCTCTCCCAAAGCCTCTCCCACGGCCTCGGCCTCTCCCACCCCCTCTTCCTCTGCTGCCTCCCGCAGCTCCATACCCCTCAGCAGTCTTGTTGGCAGCACCACCTCCCGTGTGGCGCCTGCGGAAGTACTCCTGCAGAATCTGCTGCCGTAGCCACTCAGGTGTCCACTGGTCGTGCTGAGTGTTGAGGGTGGGGATGAGGTTGTCCCACAAATTGTCGAGTACCGAGATGATCTTGGTGCACTGCTGCATCTGCGACACATTGCTGCCCGCCGCTGCCATTCTCGCATAAGTGTCCTTGATCTTGTCAAGGACCGGCTTCACATCATCTCCCGGTCGCATGGAGAGGGCAGCCAGCTCCTTCTCCAACACAATCACCATCGGCAGGGTGTTGGGCTGAATCACACCGCGTAGTAGCTTCCACGCCTTCGGTCCCGAGTCATCGAGCTCCACCAAATCTTTGATGTGCTGAAACATATCGTTGTTGGCGGATTGAAGGATAAGGTCGTACAGCACTGCGCTCTTCTCAATCCACCGATCGCGGGCATCGCCTTCCTCCGGAATCTTCTCTTCACCCATCGCAAGTTTCAGCAGCTTGTAGCGCTTAAACGCACTCCGCATCCGCCCGCTCCATTCCTCATAGTTGGAGCCATCCAATGCCTCGATCTTGGATGGTGGCGGCTCATTTCTCTTCTCAGCTGCATCTCCATTTCCTTGATTCATCTCCTCTTCTCCCAATCACAGGTTTCAGCTCCCCCCTTGCTGTCCACACCGAAGTCCCACACAATTTCCACAAGTATCGGCGCCAACGAAAGTTCGGCAGAGTTTCCCCTTAGCGGAAGTCACATCCAACCTCCAAAACTCCACTTAGGCACACCCACAGGCCATGGTGGGTCTAGAAGGTTCTTCACACCTCAGTAGACTCTCCACAAAGTCCTCAATCAGCTCTGATACCACTTTTTATAGACTAAGGACGGAGTCTAGAAGATTAGGGGCCGAGATATCTCAAAATCGTTGGGCTATATTTGTGGACAGAAAAGTCGACTTTACAAGAAACGTCGTCCACGAAACGTTCACCGTTAGACTTTTCTTAAACTCGAGTATGTTGTAGCCCTTTCCCGTGGCTATCCTTCCCAATTTGAATCGTAACAAAATATGGTGTGTAACTCGAGTTATGAATTTCGGCGCAATAGGGGGTATGCTGCCATAAAAACTTAACTCAATAACAATTGTCTCACAAGTACCACACAAGGCAATTAGAGTAGCAATAAACCAGGTAGGAGGGGATGAGGGGGACGAGAGGGAAGGTCCCAAGAGAGTCCCCAACCAAGGAAAACCCCATACCACACAATTCCCCTCCCTATAGGCACCTCAACTTTGACATTTGTCACTTTCCCAACCCATGCCATCCACCTCACCCAAATTGGCCACACTTGCCAACCTGGTTTGGCTTCTCCCAACCATTTGGCAGCAACTACAGTAGAAGTGACGAATTTCCCAACCCCCAAAAGTCTATACCCCTTATGGGGTCAAAACCCTACAAATTCCCATAGTCATCACATCACAATCAAAACTTCGAACGGTCATATCTTTCTCGTTCTTGCTCCGATCGCGACGATTCTTAGTTCGTCGGAAAGCTCTCGAGAAGAGGAGTCACTTCATATATCTGCTCAAGCTAAATAACATTCACACACACTCAGAAAATCCAAAACATACCAAACGCAAAGTCCTTCGCACTCGCACACCACGCATGCAAGATAGAAAGATAAGATGGGAGGCAGACAGACGTGAATGCAAATGATAGCATCACATAACAGCAGGTAGGCTATCCTGCAGGAGATGCTCGGCGAGAGCATTAGCATGGCGTGCTGGGGGTGTAGCTGAGCTATCAGCGGCAGCGGAGCGGACGCCTCCGTGAGTCGTGTCTGTGCCTAGTTGGTGCAGAATGCAGTTGTGCCGATCAGGCTCCCCAAAAATCTGATGCCATTGGTGTTTATTGGCAGGCCCTGCGGTGGTGGTATCTCATTTCCCCCCCCTGTGCTCTGTCCCCACCCTGTGGACTTGGCAATGTTGCAGTGGATCCCGAGCGATGTTAGCCCCCTTGTGATGTTGCTAAAAGCTTCATAGGCAGCATCCCGTGGTCCCACGATGGTGATGTCGTCGGCGTCTGCGACGATCGCCACCTCGGGGAGGAGTGTTGCTATGCCCAGTTGTGTTGGCTGGATCGCCGCTACAAATAGGAGCGGGCAAAGCGGATCTCCCTGACGGACTCCTCGGTTGCTCATGATCTGGTCGACGCCAAGCCTGTGGTCCACTAGAAAGCGGGACGGACCGTCATACAGTGTGCGTACGAGGGGCAGAAGTGATAACAAACTCGATTGCGAGAGCGCCTGAAAAAACGCCGACCGTTCGACACTATTGAAGGCGTTCTCGATATCGAGCTGTAGCGCGACGCGAGTCTCGTCATCTTTAAGCAGCGATCGGACTGAGTGTACGATGCACTCCGCGCCACCAGTGAATGCTATGCCAAACTGTACGGGGAGGAAAAACTCGCGGATGTTTTGCGATAATTCCTTCAGGGCTGCTTTTGCCACGATGCGAAGTAATGCCTCTCCTATTGCCATGGGTCGAACGCCTCCTCCCGGCTTTTCCAGTGTGATGAGTCTCGAAGGAAGGAGAAAATCGCGGATAGGTTGGGTCTGGAAGGTGCTAAGGAGGTAGCTGATCGCTTTTGCGAGGAGTATGAGCACCTCTTCACTCGTCAGCGCATGGTCTTTGAGGTGTTCGAAACAGGTGCTTGATGGTCCTGCTCCCACTCCGTTCGGGCATCGTTTAAGTATTTCGCGGAGGTCGTCGGGGGTTAATCTCAACGCCGAATGGGTGTAGCCGGTAACGCAAGTCGAGGTGGGCGATGCAGCATCAGGGTGTTTCGCCTGCAGTGCAGCAAGCGTCTCTGGTGTGGCTTCCGCCAGTGGAGTTGTGCGTAACGCTGCGTCTGCCTTCAAAATGTTACCCTTCTTCATCAAACCCTCCGCTCTTGCGCAAAGTCCAGCATCATCAGCTTGGTGTCATGTCGGGTTCTCCATGTCAGGGATGACCTTAGCCTCTTCGAAGAGTTCCCCCCATCTGCCTTGCTGGAAATGGTGCAGCCGTCCCTTGATTCCTGTCCATCGACTTTCTTCAACTGGTTCGGGAAGGGGTCGTAGGGTCAGCCTCGGGAGGAATTGCAGGATCGCCCATGCACCTGGGCAGTCGGGTTGTTTTGCAAGGCGCAGGAGTGGTGCCAGTACACTAAGGGTGTAGCTCTCCAAACTTTTGGGGGGCATTCTCCGAACCAAGAAAGGTTGGTCCCCCCGCTGAAGTAGTGCAATTTCCCACGTGGCTGCCTGTTGGCAGATGGCATCGTCTGCTGCCAGGTCGGCCGGCGACTGTACCTTGGGCACTGCTGATTCTCTCTAGCTCCCACTCGCTGCTACTCCAATCTCTCCTTCCTCCTGGGGGTTTAGCTCCCGGAGGTTTCTCTCCTGAGGGTTTCTCCCACCCTCACTCCGTCCCCTATCTCTTTTTTCCGCACCTCCCTCTTCCTCCAGCGAGATCTCTTCTGAGGCTTGTGATGCTTCAGACACATAATCCTCCCCGTCATCGTTGTCGTCAGATTCCCCCGCCTCCTGATTCGTCGGTGGCGCATCTTGTTTTGGGCGTTCGTGGCGTTCCCGCCACGTTCCCGATCTCACAAGCGCCTCTCTTCCCCCGACGATTGCGCCTCCGCCCCGTCTTCCGCCTCTTGCCCCACGTCCTCCGCCTCGGGCCCCGCGAGCCGTCTCGCCTCCTCTGGACTGGTTCTCGTTGTTCCGCCCTCCCCGCCCAGCTTGTGGTGCTCTCCCCGCTGGGATCCACGTGAGTGTGTCTGTCTCATCAGGCCTCCCCTCAGCTGGCCCCTGGTAATGCCTCGTGCGCGTGTGGAGCTCCGCGTTTCCCACTGGGGCATTTGCAAAGTCGCAGCTTCCGGTGCGATGTTTCCCGCCCTGTTGCTTGAAGGTCGCGCTTGCCTGACGCTGATCTCCCCTTCGTTTTCCCCACTTCTTGGCCCCACAGATGGAGGTTGACGCCCTTGCGATTGTGGCGTCTTCCCTTGCAGAAGCCAGCCCAGGAGGGGTCCCAGGGAGCCAGGTACCAGCCCTGCTCCGGGCCGCCTCGACGCTGGCTGGGCGCGAAGCTTCCTCCCGCCCCTCCCACGAGCGGCGTGCACAGCAGCGCCAGTCCCGCGACCCGATGTATCGCCCGTCACCTGGTCACGCCCCTGCGTGTCTGCGCCCGCGGCAGCAGTAGACGTTTCAGCGGACGCAGCGCCAGCCGTCACATCTCCCTCGGCTGGGCCCACGTCCACTCCCGCTTAGCAGCTGATAGAGCAGCTGTCGGTGCCCGTGGCGCAAGCACCACCGCCTCCGTTGCCCGTTCTTGCTCCACCGCCAGTCCCTCCACCTCAGAATGCGGCACCGCAGCCGGGCCCGCTTCACGGTGCGAAGCTGAGTCGGCGCCAGAGGCAGCGGCTAACTCGGCAGCCAACTCCGGCTCCGCTTCAATCCCAGCTGCAGCCGTTGCCGATGTCGCAGCCTCCGCCGCCCTTGTCTCAGCGCCTCCAACCGGTGCCTCAGCAGCCGCCACCACCGCAGGTTCCGCCAGTGCCGCCTCAGTCTCCACAGCAGCCTCTGCCGCCGTCACATCCTCCTCCTGCCATTCCCGATCCTCCCGCACCGCTTTCCCAGGAGGAGTTCTTGTCGCCGAGCCCCCCTCCGCACCGCGGGACCTTCCCGCGGGACTCGTTGCCACCTGCTGCCCAGGAGGCTCCTCATTCTCAGACCCCGCAGCACCGTTGGAGTTTGTGGGAGGAGTCTCCCCCTGTCAAGCGAGCTCTTTGCGTCGAGCAGCGCGTTGGGCACGTGGGGACCTGCCTGACCCTGTTGGCAATGATCCTGGACCAACTGCACACTTGTCACTTACGGCTGTCGCGCCCTGAAGATGTGCCTCCGGCAATGTCGCAGTAGGAGCAGGAGGAGGCTGTGGCGGCAGCGATGGAGATGCTGCGGATGTTTCCCGCGATCAGGCTGGTGCCGGGCTCACCTGGCTCCGCCTTGGGGCCTGGCCCTTCCTCGCTGAGGCGGCTTGCCCTTGCCGCCCTACAGGCCCCGCAGGACATCGTACCAGTTGCCGCATCCGTGCTGTGCTGGATGGACGGGCGGTTGTGTTGGATCCTGGCCGAGTAGCAACCCCTTTCCCTTTGCCCGCCTGCTTGATTCCCAGCCTGGCCTTGGGCTTCCCCATGGCTGTTACTTCTCGCCTGGGGGTGTTGTAGCGGGTGTTGTTGTTTACCCTTGCATTATGTAATGCTTCATCTTATAAACTTTGTGTCCCCTTCCCCCCACCCCCAAATCCCATCTTCCACTACAGTACTATTGTAGTATTACTATCGAGACGAGAACTTTGAAAATGCTCTACTGTAGTTTTATACTATCGAACTATTGAATTGCATATGTCATATTTCTTTTCCCAACACTCCCCTTCAATTCTGGAGTTCGATGTTGTCGGTGTTGATGTGGTCGAGTCCAGTCAGCATCATGCAGTACTGAAATTTTGGATGCGGCAGACGCTTGGTCAAGAGTCCGCGGCCATTTTGCTCATAGGGCAGTAACCGAGCTGTAGCTTGCCTTGCTCGATTTCGTCATTGACAAAATAATAGCGAAGCAATATATGTTTGGTTCGGATTTGTTCGCAATGCGGATTGCGGACTGCTTGTCGCAAAACAGCTGAAACTGTGACAGGTCTAGTAACTTTGCTTCGCTAAGCAGCTCGTGAAGGTAAAGTCCTTCCTTCGTGGCGGTGCAGCCAGCAATGAAATCCGCCTCAGCTGATGAGAGTGCAATCAGCTCCTGCTTGCACGACTGCGAGGAGATAGTTCCAACGGGCTCAAGGCGAAAAATATAGCCCGTACATGAACGTTTATTTGCAGTATCACCCGCGTGATCTGCATCTACATAGCCGAGTAGAGATAGCGGCGACTTCGGCGACTTGTGATACGAAGTACGAAACTGCTGCTTCCAGCTCCCGTAGGTTCTCCCCTTCAGGTCGCTTAAGAAATTGAGCGAGCTGGCTAGCCGAATAAGCCAAAGCCGGACGGCACGTTACAGCTGCGAATAGAAGACCATCGAGGAGCTGTTGATAGCGAGTGACACCCGTAGATGAGAGAGGCTCAGATTCAGCTGCGTGAGTAGAACGAAATGGAGTCGTAGAGGTAGTGATCCGTAGAGGAAAACGTTTCATCAGCTTCTCATCGTACTTCTCGGCGGAGAGGTGTATAGCAGTAGGTGTCTCGGTGATGTTTAAGCCAAGGTACTGAGTAACGTCCGTGGATATTGTAATCGTCAGGTCAGTTTTCAGCTCCCCTACAAAGAAAGAGATAATGTCAGGCGTGCTGCCGATGTAAAGTAAATCGTCGACGTAGACGACGAGTAACACGAATGCAGCTTCGCAGTCCATGCGGTACATGCCGTGATCATGAGGTAGTTGGCGAAAGCCAATGCGGATGAGGCGCTTGTGGAGATGGTGCTGCCAGAGACGCGGTGCCTGCTTAATACCGTAGAGGGAATTATTAAGATGGCAGACCATGGAGGCATCGATAACGTAACCGTGCGGCTGCTTGACGAGTATAAGTGCGTCGACGAGAGCGTAGAGAAACGCCGTTGAAACGTCGATTTGACAAAGCTTAAGACCCAATGCAGCTGCGAAGGCGAGTAGAATTCGGAGCGATATATGACGACTGACAGGAGCAAAAATCGCGCCGTAATCCATGCCATGCTTCTTATCAAATCCGCGAACGACCCAACGAGCCTTGAAACGCTTGATCGTTCCGTCAGCATTTGTCATAACACGGAAGAGCCACTTCTTAGAGAGAATGTTCTTGCCAAGAACCGTCGAGATAGGGATTAAATCCCATGTGTTGTTATCGTGTAGCGCAATCAGCTCCCTGTCCATGGCTTCGCGCCATTTTTCCCTATGAGGTCCTTCTAGCGCCTGATCCAAGGTGTTCGGTTTGGTAGGAAGCGATGGTTAAACTGCTACAGCGAGCCCCAGTATCTGTAAAACGGTCTGACGATAGCGAGTCTGTGTCTCGGTTTCGTTAGTAGCAGCTTCAGTTTTCCTGTCCACTCCTTGTGCGGTGATGAAAAGTTTGGCAGAGACGTGGATGAGAAGAGGTTGTGGAGCAGCACTGCATGGTCCATCGCAAATTGCCACTGCCCAGTTGACAGGTTTGCTCCCATGAGAAGCTTGCGCATGGTAGTTTGCAGTATCATGTTCATCCGTTCTGCTACACCCTAATGTTGATGCTGGTAAGGCAGTGAATGCAGCTTCTTGATTCCCCTCTTTGCTAGGTAATCCTTGAAACACTGTGAGAGGTACTCGAGAGCACCGTCTGTGTGGAAACTCTTCAGCTTCAGATCACTCTCGCGTTCAGCTGCGGGTAGCCAGGCGACAAAGGCGTCGTAGGCGAGATCATGCGACAAGATGATTGCATGCCAGACGTAACGTGTTGCAGAATCGATGAAGGTAATAACATAATTTAAATATGCTCGCCCTTCTTGCCGTGGAATTACTAAGATGTCGCTGTAATCTTTCTCTAGTGGTTTGTATGCAGGTGCGCCAGGGTTGTGATGTGACGGGAACGGCTGCCGTGGAAGATCTGCTTCAGGACATAGGATACAGTGATATTGTGGTAGGCGAAGCTCCGTTCCATCGATAAGTAGTAACGCATATTTGTCGAGTACTCATGCCTGTATTGTGTTGTATGTGGTTTTGCCGCTTGGATGTCCGGGACGTTTATGCCACATGTCTTCTGTTGTTGCACGTCGATACATATCTAAGTTGGCGTAGAAGGCGGCGAAGTGGGCGGAGCTCCTATGTGATGCGTCGTTAATCGTGCCACGTCGAGTAGCAGAAGTGTCAATGAGAAGCGAACCTGTTGAGTGTGATGAAGTTGAAGGTAATGATTGCTGTTGTATATGTTCTGCTTCCCGTGCTGTATCTATTCTGCTTCCTCGTGATGAATCTGTTCTGCTTCGCCGCTGATATTCGTAGACTCTGCTGCTGCGCGTGATGTTCTAGGTGTACCTGCTTCAGATGCGATTGGTGTGACATCTTCACAGTTAAATCCAAGATGACCCGGCTCAGTGTTGAGTTCTTCGGGATGACAAACTGTCCAAGAACCAAAGGCGAGAATCCGATCGCTATCTGCTGAAGTTCCATCTCGCTCCATGTTAAGGACGAACACTCCGTCTTGCTGTACTGCTTTTGCAATGTAAAACCCTTCCTTTGTCGAGTATAATTTGATATCTCTGTCGTCGCTGTCACAGTCCAGGTGTACTCTGCGTCCCATCAGTTGACTGACGCTGAGGAGATTGTAGCCAAGCCCAGGCACGACGAGGACGTTGGAGAGCTGGATAGCTGTGTTTGTCTCCGGTGAATGAAGAAGAGCTGTGCCTTGACGTCGGGTACGAAGAGTCTAATTGTTGGCGACCGTTACTGTAACTTCTTGATGAAGTCGCGTTTCATGTTTTACATAGAACCCATTGTTAACCCCTGTCGTGCACATGTGTTGTGCACAGCAACTGTCAAGAAACCAAACACCCGGACCTTATTCGGATGTAGCTGCAATGTTGGCGTACTATGGATTGACCAGAAGATTTGCTGGAACTTCATATTAAACTTCATCTGGAGCAAAGGTCGGAGGCGATCCTGGGATGCATGAGTCTGTGCGAGTCATCCAGGCTTGCACGTTCCTCCCCTTGACTGGTGCTGGTGTAGTCTTTTGATTACTTTGTGCAGCTGATGCAGTAGTGGCTGCAACCTGTGGAGGAGCAGCGGCAGGATGTTGACGTTCAGGACAATGATCACGTGAGTGACCAAAAGGTCTTACACTTGTGACAGAACGGAGGTACATAGTATTACTGCTGCTGCTGCTGCTGTCTCGGCTGTTGTTGTTGCTGCTTCTGCTGCTGTTGAAAATGTTTTTGTCATTGCTGCTTCGGCGGTTCCACTTGATTGTGTGTTATAAAAGGGAACCGATTGACTTTCTTCTTGCCTTTGCTGTTGCCTCGGCGAGGAGTGTTGCGCAGAGGTGCATCTCCGAGACGTTCCCTTGAGTACGGAGAAGATAGTGCGTCTGACGCCACTAAGGTCCAATTCCGGCGATGACAACTGTCACAAACATAGACTGAGGGAAGCTCCCACCACTTCGATTAAACTGGTCACGTAACTCTCTGCATCTTTTGATGTACTGCACCACATGTTCTCCTGCCTTCATTTGCACGTTTTTTAGTTGCGACATGAGTCAGCGCTGTGTTAGACAGTCTGTTGCTTGGTAAAGCCACTTCAATTGTTGCCATGCTAACTCCGCTGAGTTCGCAAACTCCCTGTATGATCTGATGCCTTGCTATTCAGTAGGTGTCAAGTTACGAAGGAGAATCGTAAACGCCATCATCGACTGAAAGCTGAATCGGTGTTGTTCATCCGGTGTGCCGTTGACTGGGAATTGAATTTCCACAGTGAAGTATTCCCAAATTTGTGCTACTTCCATCATGAGAGAGGAGGAACGACGGAGGGGGAGGGGCGAGAGGAGGGACGACGGGATGGGACTGGAGAGAGGAGGAACGACGGGTAAGGAGGGCAGAGAGGAGGGACGACGGGATAGGAGGGGAGAGAGGAGGGACGACGGTGGGGGAGGGGAGAGAGGAGGAACGACGGGTAAGGAGGGCAGAGAGGAGGGACGACGGGATGGGAGGGGAGAGAGGAGGGACGACGGGATGGGAGGGGAGAGAGGAGGGACGACGTGATGGGAGGGGAGAGAGGAGGAACGACGGAGAGGGAGGGGCGAGAGGAGGGACGACGGGATGGGACTGGAGAGAGGAGGAACGACGGGATAGGAGGGGAGAGAGGAAAGGACGACGGGGTTGGAGGGGAGAGAGGACATAGCGAGGGGATGGGCAGCGCCGATGGGCGATACGCGGCGAAGGGTAACGAAACGATATAGCGAGGCGAAGGGCAGCGAAACGATATAGTGAGGCGAAGGGCAGCGAAACGATATAGTGAGGCGACGGGCAACGAAGAAATATAGCGAGGGCGACGATGTGGGCGATAGGAAGGGAGAGAGGAATGCGACGGGAGGACAATTCGGAGCGATCTCGATAGCGACGAGGTGGGTAATGGGAGGGGAGGGAGGGCCGACGGTAAGGCGATTCGAGGCAAGCGCGAGGGCGACGAGGTGGGTGATAGGATGGGAGTGAGGAAAGGCGACGTAAGGACGATAGCGCGGCGGTGACGAGGTGAGCAATGGGTGGGAGAGAGGAACGGCCATAGGACGGCTACTCAAAGCGAACGCGATATCGACGAGGAGGGTGACGCGACGGGCGATTTTGAAAAGAATGGCATATGCGACCAGAAGAGTAACGCGGGGTGGGAGGAGCGATAGGAGCCGACGATGACGAGGGGTTGGCGATTGCGCTCGACGGGGGAAATAACGTTACGAATGGGTCACGTATTATTACGCCCAAAAGATAAGTCGGTACGGTACGGTACATCACACACTCGAACTAAGTCAAAAATTGCGTGCCTAGGACACTATCAAGTTGGACTAGTGACCAGTTCAGCTATACTTGGCAGGGAACTAATGACAGCGGGAGAATAAAACGGTGAGTTGTGAACCCAGTTCCAGCTTGAAATCAATGTTGGAGCTGGCGACCAAAACGATCGCTTTGCGCTGGTCGTGAGGCTGCAGCACGTAGGAGGCGACAGCTGACATGAGCGCCAAAATTCATTTGGCGGGAGCCTGAAAAAGTCTCATTTTGGTGAGAGCCAATCACATCAATTCGATCTGTGCACTTGAAATGTTTGGAACAGTGCTGAATCTGCCCGATCATCTCACACCATTTCAAGCTGGGTTGGGGTTCACTATTTTGCATTCTGGTTTTAAAAGGCTGTACCTATAGTTTAGGGTGCCGAAGGCAACGGGGGCAAGTGGTCCCTTTTAGTTCGGTGCGTCCGCTCGTACAGGAGTTGCCACAGGTCCGCTTGGAAGGAGTTGCGGCGCTTTGGGCGCAATGCGATCGCGTCAACGCGGGGTTTCGAGCAGGACAGTTCGAGGCAGGACAGGACAGGCAAGCCAGGACAGGAAAGGCCAGGCCAGGCCAGGACATGCCATGCCAGGCCAGGACACGACAAGACAGGACAGGACAGGACAGGATAGGACAGGAAAGGGCAGGGCAGGACAGGATACGACAGGACAGGACAGGACAGGACAGGACAGGACAGGACAGGACAGGACAGGACAGGACAGGACAGGACAGGACAGGACAGGACAGGACAGGACAGGACAGGAGACGACAGGAGACGACAGGACGCGACAGGACGCGACAGGACACGACAGGACACGACAGGACAGGACAGGACAGGACAGGACAGGACAGGACAGGACAGGACAGGACAGGACAGGACAGGACAGGACAGGACAGGACATGACAGGACAGGAAAGGACAGGCCAGGCCAGGGCAGGTATGGGCAGGTCAGAAGACGACGGGACGGGACGGGACAGGCCAGGTCAGGTCGGCCAGGACAGGACAAGACCGGACAAGACCGGACAAGACAGGACAAGACAGGACAAGACAGGACAAGACAGGACAGGACAATACGGATGGGACGGGACAAGGCGGGGCGGGGCGGGGCGGGGTGGAGCGGGGCAGGGCAGGGCAGGGCAGGGCAGGGCAGGGCAGGGCAGGGCAGGGCAGGGCAGGGCAGGGCAGGGCAGGGCAGGGCAGGGCAGGGCAGGGCAGGGCAGGGCAGGGCAGGGCAGGGCAGGGCAGGGCAGGGCAGGGCAGGGCAGGGCAGGGCAGGGCAGGCAGGGCAGGGCAGGGCAGGGCAGGGCAGGGCAGGGCAGGGCATGGAAGGGCAGGGCAGGGCAGGGCATGGTAGGGCAGGGCAGGGCAGGGCAGGGCAGGGCAGGGCAGGGCAGGGCAGGGCAGGGCAGGGCAGGGCAGGGCAGGGCAGGGCAGGGCAGGGCAGGGCAGGGCAGGGCAGGGCAGGGCAGGGCAGGGCAGGGCAGGGCAGGGCAGGGCAGGGCAGGGCAGGGCAGGGCAGGGCAGGGCAGGGCAGGGCAGGGCAGGGCAGGGCAGGGCAGGGCTGGGCAGGGCAGGGTAGGGCAGGAAAGGACAGGGCAGGGCACGACAGGGCAGGGCAGGGCAAAGCAGGGCAGGGAAGGACAGGGGGGAAAGCGAGTGCTTGTGTTGGGGCGACTGAGGCACACCCGTGCGAACAATTCGCCGTTGGAGAGGAGGCGCATAGTTGAGTGCTTGGATGTTCGGCCCGGGTGCAGTGCTTTATGAAACGGGTGCAGTGCTTGCCATGCGACGATTGTAATAGAGGGTCCACTCTAGAATAACTTCTAGCAGTTCCTCACGCCACCAATCGGCACTGCCGTGGAGGTGAATGCGCTCAGAGTACCGAAAGCGCGAGAGCACGAGGTACTGCATATACTTCATCACAAACACGCCACAGTTACACGCGTCCGTCTGATGTGTTGCCTGCAGCAGGAAGGGGTGAGGCAGTGTGAACAGGGTCTAGAGTGAGCGTCTGATGAACGGGGAAGCAGGCTGACCGTCAATGCGAACCCCTCGGGGCCTCACCCACCTGGACTTTGACTAACGGCACGCGAGCAATCCAGTCCTCTGCCTCCACCTCGGACACGCCTACCATCAACTCTCGCTGCTTCCACCGCAGGTACCTGCCAGCAAATCACTTGCTCGAATCATTGGGTTTCAAATCACAGGGTTACACGCATAAGGGCACCGGCTCGGGGATAAGTGCTTACTGCCGCAATGGCACTTCAAATTTCGTGTGCAGGGACAAGGAGTCGGCATGTAGGATGCGGGTGGTGCGGTGTGGCAGTGTGGGCGGGCGGTCGTTATCTAGGATCACCAAACTCCAATGATTACTGCCACAACAATGACAATTCCAATGAGTCCCACATGCGCACCGTCAAAAGGTGACTTTTGAGTCGACCCAAAAGTCAAGGATGACCAAAATCCAGTGATCACTGCGAGCCCCACATGCGCACCGTCAAAGCACACACAGACAATCGTGGCTGCACAACTTGTGAAATGGGTCGCACCCACCCACCCAAGGATTCGATACCCAGCTTACCCTGCGTGCAGCGGGATGAGAACTCATCGGAACAACAGCATCTTGGCATGCGCAAGGACCGGGTAACCCTCGCCTGGGCGACGCATTGAGATCAAACCGAAAGTATAAGTGGAGCAGTATAGCCACGAGCATTCATCGTACTTGTTTACATACTGCAGCATCCTGTATATTACAAGGAACGAGGGCCGCATGCAAGGTCAGCACGGGCCGCGGGCATGGTTCTGATGCTGCAAATTACAGCATTCATAGTCCGATTCACTCGAATACTTCTCCCGCGACTGCAGTGTTTCTGCGTCGCGCCTAGTCAGCACGAGCCAATCATCGTATTGGAAATACGGCATCTCGAGTTTCGTGAAGGGTTCCAATCGAGCCTCGTCATGGGAGGGCTCGTCTCCCTCGTGCTCCACGCGCTCGTCTCCCTCGTGCTCCATGCACAGCAACGGGGTTTGCTTAAGTCGCGGTGGATCGCGTGCGTCGCGCATGTTGAAGGTGGTTGGCTAACCACGACCTAGAACGACCTAACGCGATCTACATCGACCTAAGAAGAAACCGGATTGACGAGCTGTGACTAAGGGAAGGAAATGACCTAAGAAGAAGAGAAGCTACCTATGTTGGGACGGTGGAAGGAGAAACACGGTAGCGGCGCGACCTGCAGTGGGAAACGAAGAGAAGAAGAGGAAGCGTGCAGAAGTGGAGAAGAATATGGCTGAAATGTCGAGATTTTAAAACCCGAGTTCCACATGGCTGTTTTCAAATTCTAGATTCTTGAATATGAATTCGCCAAAAACCATGTTACCACCCAAAGTGGAGCTGCTGGTTCGATCAACAGGGAGAAGTTTTGCGACGTTGTCCCATGATTGGCCAGCGACAAAACGCTGCGTACTGGGTGGAGGGTCAACGGGCAATCGGTCACTGTTCACACTCAGTAAACTTGAACACCAAGTTGTACTAACTGGCAGGCATCTTGACAGGCAAAGCATACGTAGTTAGTCCGTTTCGCGCGCATTATCTGTCACCCTGCACACGTTTCCACCGTAGCTCTTAGCTCTATCCTTGCCGCATCCTATTTGGGGACTAACGACAATAGCGAATAAATAACGGCAGTGACAATGAGCTCCAGTCGGATAATAACCGCGCATCTCAGGGGCTCGTGCGCTACACACTCAACCGGATCCACTTACTCGCGCGATGGGAAATACGGTCGACGACGTCACATTAGCATCCACATTGATCGCGTCAACCATTGTTAGCCACGGTTCAAACGGTCGCGCGGTCAATGGTAAGATAAATCCCCTCCGCCCGTCCAGGTCCCCTTCCGCCCGTAGCTCTCCGTTCCGCCGTAGCTCTCCCATCCGCCCGTAGCTCTCCGTTCCGCCCGTAGCTCTCCCATCCGCCCGTAGCTCTCCGTTCCGCCCGTCGCTCTCCCATCCGCCCGTAGCTCTCCGTTCCGCCCGTCGCTCTCCCATCCGCCCGTAGCTCTCCGTTCCGCCCGTAGCTCTCCCTTCCGCCCGTCGCTCTCCCTCCGCCCGCCGCTATCCCTTCCGCCCGTCGCTCTCCAATCCGCTCGTCGTGCTCCCTTCCGCCGATCGCGCTCCCTTCCGCCGATCGCGCTCCCTTCCGCCCTTCGCTCTCCATTCCGCCCTTCGCTGTCCCTTCCGCCCGTCGCCCTCCCTTCCGAGCGTCGTTCTCCCTACTGTGAGTCGATCTCCCTTCCGCCCGTCGTTCTCCCTTCCGCAGGTCGCCCTTCTTTCCCCGAGTCGCCCTCCCTTCCGCCCGTTGCCCTCCCTTCTTCCCATCGCCCTCCCTTCTTCTCATCGCCCTCCCTGCCGCTCGTCGCGATCCCTGCCGCTCGTCCCCTAGCTTTCCCCGTCTCCCAGTCTCCCCACCGCCGTCGCAATCTCCATCTCCCTCTCTCCCCGTCGCGCTCGCTTTCCCCGTCTCGTCGTTCTCCCCGTCGCCCTGCCATCCAATGCTCGTCGCCCTCGCCTTCCCTCCCGTCTCCCTTCCCATCTCGCGGTATTGTCACCCTCCCATTTCTCCCCCTACTCACTCCCTTCCCTCCACCCTGATATCGCCTTCGATCCCCTCACTTATCCCCCCCCCCCCAACACTGCTTACCTCTCTCCCTATTCCCCCCATTCTCTGCCCTGCTCCCCATCATCCTCCGCCCTGCTCTCTCCCCGGCATCTGCCCCCGTTCTCCCCCATCCACTTCCCTGCGAGCACTTCCCTGTTTCCATCCATCCTCTGCCCGGCTGCCCCCCAATCTCACAACTGCTCCCCCCAATCCCCTGCTCTGCTTCCCCCCATAATCTCCCTCTCCATGTGTCCTTCCTCTCCCCCATGATGCCTTCCTCTCCCTGTCGCTCCCATGTCCCCCCAGCGCTCGTAGTTCCACTGCTCGTGCCCCTCGCGCGTTGGGAACACTCATTCCTTCCCACCCTCTCTTTCCTTCCCACCCTCTCATTCCTTCCCACCCTCTCATTCCTTCCCACCCTCTCTTTCCTTCCCACCCTCTCATTCCTTCCCACCCTCTCATTCCTTCCCACCCTCTCTTTCCTTCCCACCCTCTCATTCCTTCCCACCCTCTCTTTCCTTCCCACCCTCTCATTCCTTCCCACCCTCTCTTTCCTTCCCACCCTCTCATTCCTTCCCACCCTCTCATTCCTTCCCACCCTCTCTTTCCTTCCCACCCTCTCGTTCCTTCCCACCCTCTCTTTCCTTCCCACCCTCTCTTTCCTTCCCACCCTCTCATTCCTTCCCACCCTCTCATTCCTTCTCACCCTCTCTTTCCTTCCCACCCTCTCTTTCCTTCTCACCCTCTCATTCCTTCCCACCCTCTCTTTCCTTCCCACCCTCTCATTCCTTCCCAACCTCTCATTCCTTCCCACCCTCTCATTCCTTCCCACCCTCTCTTTCCTTCCCACCCTCTCATTCCTTCCCACCCTCTCATTCCTTCCCACCCTCTCTTTCCTTCCCACCCTCTCATTCCTTCCCACCCTCTCATTCCGTCCCACCCTCTCATTCCTTCCCACCCACTCATTCCCTGGGCCCCTGCTCCCAGTCCCCCTGCTCCCTGTCCCCCTGCTCTCTGTCCCCCCCCCGTTTCTCCCAGTCCCCCTTCTCCGTGTCCCCCTGCTCCCAGTCCCCCTTCTAACAAGTCCCCCTGCTCCCTGTCCCCCTGCTCCCTGTCCCCCTTCTCCCTGCCCCCCTTCTAACAAGTCCCCCTGCTCCCTGTCCCCCTTCTCCCTGTCCCCCTTCTCCCTGTCCCCCTGCTCCCAGCCCCGTTTCTCCCTGTCCCCCTGCTCCCTGCCCCCCTTCTAACAAGTCCCCCTGCTCCCTGTCCCCCTTCTCCCTGTCCCCCTTCTCCCTGTCCCCCTGCTCCCAGCCCCGTTTCTCCCTGTCCCCCTGCTCCCTGCCCCCCTTCTAACAAGTCCCCCTGCTCCCAGTCCCCCTTCTCCCTGTCCCCCTTCTCCCTGTCCCCCTGCTCTCTGCCCCCCCCCCGTTTCTCCCAGTCCCCCTTCTCCGTGTCCCCCCGCTCCCAGTCCCCCTTCTAACAAGTCCCCCAGCTCCCTGTCCCCCTTCTCCCTGTCCCCCTTCTCCCTGTCCCCCTTCTCCCTGTCCCCCTGCTCCCTGTCCCCCTTTTCCCTGTCCCCCTGCTCCCTGTCCCCCTGCTCCCCGTCCTACCTTCACTTGCACCCACTATGCACCCCATGTACCAACAGCCTGCACCACTCCTTCCATCCATCCTGCCACATAGTGTCTCACAGTTGGGACACATTGCATGAGTGTTTTTATTTACAAACATTGTGAAAGCACTTCCCATTGTTGCATGCATGTGAACTTCCGCCACTCATTCCCCCCTCCCCTCCCTCTCCCACCCACCTGGCCCTTCCCCCTCTCATCCGCGCACGGGTGTGGTGGAAGGCGCACAGGAATGGTGGTCGGTGGAGTAAGACGTGGACAAGCACAGGGTGAAGGCAGGCAGTGGCCGTGGCAAGATATTGAGATGGGCAGAGCCAGCAGGATGCCGCGGCGTGTAGATGCGGGAGGGGGTACGCAGTCTAGCAGGATTGCTGGCCTCATCCGGCTGTAGGGATCGACTTGTTGGTTCTGCTTTGCTGTGCGCTGAAGGATCCTAGGAATGTGGGTTTACCTGCGAGACTGTATTGGGTTTAGTGGTGTATTGTTGTGACCAGGGCCTCAGATATCAGGAAAAAAACCCTGAAATTCCTGATTTTGGCAGTCCTTTTTTTACCTGCCCTGAAAAGTCAGTGTTGAGAATTTTGAGGGACTGATCTTTCAGCCTTTTTTGTTAGGCCACACTGAAATTTCAGACTTTTTTCCCCTAGTACACTGATGCCACAGCGTTGTAACGAAACCAACACTGAAAGCGATTCTTACCTATGCCGTGTAGATTTGACCGCAATTACAGGGAATCTCAGATTCCCGAGGTGTAAGCACCCCGTGGCGAGGCCAACCTGTGAAATTCTACCTCTGGTTCACGTTCAGAGGTGTTTTGTTGGCGCAGCGCCTCACACCATTGGGCCGTTTCGCTGCAGCAGTCAGTCTTGGCCAATCCGAACTTGGCCACCATGTGGTGCTGGAGGGCTGCCAAGGATCCTGCCCCGTTGCCATCACCTGTGACGCGTTAGTGACAGCCTTTTTACTAGTGTAACACTGATGCATCAGGCTTTTTACAAACGCAACACTGTCATTTCAGGCTTTTTTTTTTTGGAACACTGTCGATCAGAGTTTACACACAGGGGGACCCTGATGGGTTGACGACCCTAAAAGTGAATCTGAGGGCCTGGTTGTGACTTTACTCTTGGGGTTGCAGCCAGGGCTTCAGATTCGTTTTGGGCCACCCTTAGTAATCAGGGTTCTAGGTATTGTCAACCCTAATGCATAGGGTAAAAAAAAAAATTCCCTGCCAAATTCAGGGTAAAAAACTATAAGTCTGTTTGGACGGTAATTTTTTTGGTACACTTTGTTTCCGTATGAATAAATGCAAAAGTCCGCTGGTTTAACACTTAGTGGCTCAGTCGGTACGCTTGCGTATAAGATATGTAAGGTGACATATTCGATTCTCGTTGTTGGTAGTATTTCGCGGGGGCTCGAAGTGTATTTTGTCTCGCTACGGAGCTTCGGTATCAGTGTAGTTGAGATCGTACCCTGTTACAGTCAGAGAAATAATTCCTATTCCCTGTTTTTCAAAGGGGAAAAAGAAACTTACACTTTCTGGCCTAGGGTAAAAATCTCATTACCCTTCCTGGGAAAGGGTAACTGAAAAAAGCTAAGCTGCTAAAAAACACAGGAGTGTTGATATGTTCCCTACTAGACACATGCAACATACGGTAATCCTCCGAAGCCAAACATAGAATCCAACAAGTGGATTGGTAGTGGTGTGACAACTTGCTGTCGCCAAGTAATGGGTAGGAATGTAGGTGCGAAACTGCATTGCAAACCGAGGTTCTCTCAAGTGATGCTGTGCCTGATGTTGGGTAGGAATGAACGGAGCAACAAGACACATGCCGTGAGAGTAACAGCAGTGATGTGGCTTTTGAGACAATAGGTGTCGCGTCTTAGGTAACTGTGATCGCAGCTGACAATGCACACATGCTAATCCTGAACTCGATGTGACGACTCCTAATGTGACACTACCAGCTCTGGCTGTATCGCGCGTGTTATGTTCCCGTTGACCCTAAAGTGACAACATTGTACATTGGTTTGCGGGCTATCATGAAACCACAGCTGCTGTGAGTTGCGGAGCAGTTAGCTCATACTTCAGCTGTCCTTCAACAACTATACTAGCGGCGACGAGAGCTATATCAGTTTTTCCAAACTATAGGCCTCTATAAAGGCACCCCCACGCTTACAGATTCTAATCGAGGCTCGATGTAGCCTCTCGTCGATGTCTTACACCGTGCCCCGTATCGTTGTTCTCCTGTCCGTGCGCCTTTCGTAGTAGCCTTCTACCGCATACGCATTTTCGTTGTCACCGAATTGTCTCACCGTTCTACGGGTATCTACCGACCCCCGTTGAATGTCTTCGAATGAGTTTTTGGCAAGATGACTCAGTTTCTTGCACCCAAGGGTTCTTGCCTGTTCTTTGACGGTGAAGCTTAGGCCCCTTCGTGTCTGTCACGTTGTTTCCGTTCTCCATTCACGTCAACGGTTGCTCTAACTCACACGTTCCAACGGACAAGACTCCCACTTCTAGCTCAGCGTACGTCAATGATGTCGCGCTTGAGAGAATCTGTTGACATCTGCGTCGCGGCAATATAAACGTCTAGCGCGGCGCGCTTGATTGCTGATGGTCGATGGTAGTTGTGCCTCTCACCCGAGTTGCTCCCATGCACGTTCGAGCACATTTTGCGTAGTGCCTTTCGTGGTTGGTGGGCAAATTTTCACCTACTGACGTTTCGGCTGATTGGATTGGTACCTTCACTGGATTGTATCCCCCCTGTTTCCTGTTTTCCTTTCTCTGATTGGATGCTCTGGTTTTGTTTGTGTCCCTGAACGTATTTCGTCACCCTGATTGGTCGCGCTCCTTTGGAACGTGAGTTCTGTGTCGGCAGGGGTCGCCAGATGGATGTGTGGCGAACATGTGTTTTTAGTCGCATAAATCCTAGTGTTTCGCTAGGGTTGTCTTGACGAATATGTGCCTCGCTACTCTCGCCACCAGCGTTTCATGTTCAGGAAACTTGGACCCTAAACCATGCTGACCTCGGGCTTTAAGTGAAGTGAAGAGAAGTCACGCCAGGTCAAAGGCGCGTCCAAGGAAGTTTGAAATTCGAACTCGAGGCGCGTTCGGCGCATGGTTGGATTTGGAAATTGAGCTGAGTACAACTCAGCGCGAAATTAGGCGCGGCGCGAGGGCGAAATCAGAAATCTTTTGCTTATAACTTGCTTTGTGTTTTCTGTTTTTGTATGCCTTCTTCAATGAAATCACTGGAACTTTCTGTCTTGATGTTTTTCAGCAAATTCCTTCACACAGTTGAGGCCAGAGCTTACCATGCAAGCTACTAAGACTCTAATTAGTCTTCATAGTCTAGACTAAAGGCTACGCACGTACAAGAGCTGGTACCAGAGCTGGTTTAAGGCGTGTTCTAGCGTTTGAAGGATAGGCAAAATTTATTAAGTATGACAGGCGATCATACTGAGGTGAGTTCGGGCTCCTCTGTGAGCATTGGAGGCTCAGAACTACAGGCCATCCTAACAGCGCTAGCACAAGCTCGATTAAAGGCGAAATCAACAATTTGGCTTAGCGAGGCCCAACGATTTCATGGAGAAAATTATAGCACGTGGCGACTCAAGTTCATTCGTAGAGCGGAGGAAGTGGATCTCTGGCCATACTATCATCCCGACAAGGAGACGGGAGAGGGCGTCCCACCATCTGCAAAAGAAAAACCAGAAGAAAATGCGTCATTCAAAAAAAGAAGTAAGCAAGCTTTTTTCCAATTGTTTCATTCAGTTTCGGACAGCATTGCAGTGGGGCTGGATCAATTTGCGGGAGAGGAGAACTCTGCCGAACGAGCCTGGGAGTACATGGAAGCAGCGTACCTTGGGCTTACGGATACCAACAAAGCCGCCATTTGGAAGAAACTCCTTCTATTGAATATGGAGCCGAGGGAGAAGGGTCATTGAATACATGAATCAAGCGAAGGGGTACAACGACGACCTCAAGGCTATGGGGGCAGCTGAAACTGAAGGTGAAATGATGGGGTACATCATTAGTGGGCTGCCCAAGGAGTGGGAAGCAGAGATAGGGCTCCTAACCTGCAACCCACCTGAAAATATGACAAAGCTGTTGGAGACGCTCCAAGCTTTGGAGCGGGTGAAGCTGATCGGCTCAAGAAGGAGGTTAGCTTGAATGGAATGGGACCAGCCACACATGCTATGGTAAATGCAGCAGCAACAGGGAAAGGATATGGAGGTTTCGGGGCGTGTTTTCAGTGTGGGAAGAAGGGTCATAAGTAGATAGACTGCTATGACAACCCAAGGAGCAAAAATTTCAAGGGGAAATGGAGCAGTTCGCAGCAGAAGGGGCTGCAGACCGGATGGCAGCAGAGAGAGGGGGAGGTTCGAGGTGATAACAAGATGCAGAGAGGCGGATTTTCAGGGGCATGTCACTATTGCCAGAAAATTGGGCATAGGGCAGCCAACTGCTATTCGAACCCCAACAGCAGGAACTACCAAGGGGCAAACCAGCAGCAAAACAAACCAGCAGCAGCAAAAGCAAGTGCAGTGGAAGCTGAAAACAGTGAAGCGGACGTCATCTTGGTAGGAGCTCACAAGGCAAACGTGGCAAGGGCATTGGGAGTGTGTTTGGTGGCAAAAGGGTTCGGTGAAGCAGCGTGGTTCATGGACAGTGGGTGCACTCAGCACATGACCAATCACTGCGAGTGGCTTACAAATCTGAGGGACTCCAACGTACCATATGTGCTCTTGGGGGATGAAGGGAAGCTGATTGTGAAGGGGGAAGGAGAATTGCTACTCCAAGGAGAGTACGGGGAGCTGAAACTGGAAAATGTGCTCTTAGTGGAGAAGCTCTCACTGAATCTGATCAGCCAAACTCAACTTGACAGCACGGGGTGCAAAACCTTCAGCGACAAAGGAAAGTTGTGGGTTTTCAATGAGGATTGGAAGGTGGTTGCAGAAGGGAACAGAAATCAGGGGTTGTATGAAATGAAGCTGAGGAAGAAGGGGCTGGAGGATGAGAATCCCACCTACCTGACATCACTCGAAGGGGACCTAGCTAGGGAGGAGTTGAAGGCTCGGCTTGGTGGCTTACCTGTGAAGGAGCTGCAGCAGGAAGCTTCAGCCATGGTGGTTGGGGTGGAGAAAGTGGAATTAGAAACATTGCACAGGCGCATGGGGCATGCAAGCATGGAAAGGATCAAGGAGTTGGTTAAAAAGGGCATGGTGAAAGGTGTGGCGCTGAAGGAGGGGCCTGAAAGCAAGGGAAAATGCAGCAAGTGTGTTGAAGGTAAAATCACAAAATCCCCACATCCCCACCACCAGGTACATGAGCCTTATGGCACCTTGGACATCGTAGCAGCCGATGTGTGTGGGCCTATGAGGGTGGCGTCACGACACGGCAGCTGCTACTTCACTGATTTGGGAACGAGGCACACATGGGTGACGGAGCTGAAAGATAAGGCAGAAGTGTTTCCTAGCTTCATGACTTGGATGGCGGAAGCAGAGCGGGAAAGTGGGAAGGTGCTGAAAGTTTTAAGGACACATAATGGAGGGGAGTTTACCGGTGAGCTGTTCAACAAGTTTTTACAGAACAAGGTTATCCGACGGCAGCTGACTGTACCCTACACTCCACAGCATAACAGCATAGCGGAGCGAGTGAATCGGTCTCTACTAGATAGCGTGAGGAGCATGCTGGCCGACAGTGGGTTGCCGCTGAAATTTTGGGGTGATGCATTAGCTATGGCGTGCTGGTCCAAGAACCGGCTACCTACCAAGGGACTTCGGGCAGATATGACTCCCCACGAGGCCTTCTATGGCAGGAAGCCGAATCTGGGGTTTGCACGGGTGTGGGGGAGTATGGTGCAATACAGGGAGCCAAGGCTCATTGGGGGATCAATATTGGTACCTGCCCGGTGAGCAAGGGGTGGGTGATCAAGGACATCACAAATACCCTATGCCAAGTTTGGACGAATTTTGATTTCGATTGTCTTCGCGTAAAAAAATCCGGAGCCAATTTGGACCGACGGTTGGAGTCATTTGATAGGAGCTCCGAGACACATCTCGCGACAAGGTTTGGCTCGGTTCAAGTTCCAATTTGGCACGCGAGCTTTTCCGGATGACATTCGGGCGCAATCCGTTTTGTTGCAAATTCGTGACCAAATTATTCAAAAACAAATTCTGTTTCTGTTCATTTTGGATATTGAGGATTTCAGAATTGCATTTATTATGGCGGTTTACAACAACCATTATTCAGCATTCTAGCAACAAGCAGTCTTAGCACCAGGTCAAATAGCCTACGCACTGGCGGGCCTTGAAAGCGCCCGGTGGGCAAGGACGACATCTCCAAGGTCGCCGTCGTCGATGAGGAACTTGTTCGGAAAGACGAACGCACCCATAGCCGGATCGTGGGGGATCCTCCGCTCCACGAGAGCAAAGTGGATCATCTGTTTGACCTTTTCGCACCACTCCTGGTAGTCTGGCCTGTTCTGCTCTGGCTGGCTACTAATTCGCTTACGACGCTTATCCTGCAGAAGGGGCCATTCGATCTGCAATGTGGTGTAGGGTTGGGTGGATGGTTTATGAGGAGGGTAGGTTACGGGTAAATGAGGCAACTCAAAGCGGTCTTAGCACCAGGTCAAATAGCCTACACACTGGCGGGCCTTGAAAGCGCCCGGTGGGCAAGGACGACATCTCCAAGGTCGCCGTCGTCGATGAGGAACTTGTTCGGAAAGACGAACGCACCCATAGCCGGATCGTGGGGGATCCTCCGCTCCACGACAGCAAAGTGGATCATCTGTTTGACCTTTTCGCACCACTCCTGGTAGTCTGGCCTGTTCTGCTCCTGCTTGCTACTGATTCGCTTGCGACGCTTATCCTGCAGAAGGGGCCATTCGATCTGCAATGTGGTGTAGGGTTGGGTGGATGGTTTATGAGGAGGGTAGGTTACGGGTAAATGAGGCAACTGAAAGCGGTGATGCAGTCGTCACTATCTACGTAACTGCAAAGGCCTAATCGACCAGGGATTTAGCTGAAGTACAGGCAAGGGGTTAAGGGGATGAGGCATGGGGGTACAAACACATATCTACATCCTTACCGAAAACAGGCCCCATGCCACCATGCGGCTCTTGAACTTGGTGAACACCGCCCCGCCCCTCTTGAAGGAGAGCTTGAACGCATAAGCGAACAAGGGGTTGCTGAAGGGCGTCCCGGTGGCCTTGTCAAAGTGCCAGTTGAGGGCCCACTGTTCTGATTTTTGGCAGGGAGGGTATGGGTTGGAAAGGGTTTTGTAGAGAAATCAAGTGGGGGGATGAGAGTCAGGGTGAGCCACATCGCACGGTGATATGTAGCTGCCAACTGGCATATGGTAGGGCATATTGTGTTTTCGAGTTGCACTGCACATACCATCTCTGTACTCGGCTAGGAGTTGATCGTCGTCGAACCAGGTCGTTGGGTGTAGCTCTGTGGGCAGGCTATCCACGAGATGGCCGTAATTGGCAAGGCCCATGCCGGTGTATGCTGCTGGCCTGAGGGTGGAGTTGATAGTTGACCTTGTTGAGGACAGCTGGTGGTTGAAGACTCCCATGGTTGACTTGTCATTGTGCAACCACAGCAGCTTCATTGCCTCGAGCCCTTCTGCAGACAAGTGGACAGAGAACGCGTCGAACACTTCCTCCGGTGCAGGGTAGTATTGTATTTTCTCCGGCGGGTTCAGAAACATGAGTTGAGAGCACACTAAGTAGGCTTTGTTCTGCGCAGGGGTGTAAGGTATACAACACGACATGGGAGAGAGAAACCAACAGTTATGAGGGTGGCCGCGTGACCAGGGGATGGTGACTAGCAACACTGTGTGAACTTGCCACGTCACACCCTCCTGCATCCGCCACGTCCACCAACAACCAGCCCCACGTGCCACGTCACACCCTCCCACCCCATGCCACGTCACCCCCCACCCACCTGACACGCGTCGCCTTGTCACGCGCCGCTCCTGTGTACCATTACAAACCGCCACGTCAGCCCCAACCCTCACATTCCGCCACGTCACACCCTCCTCCATCCGCGACGTCCACTGACAACCAGCCCCACGTGCCACGTCACCCCCCACCCACCTGACACGCGTCGCCTCGTCACGCGCCGCTCCCGTGTACCATTCCAAACCGCCACGTCAGCCCCAACCCTCACTTTCCGCCACGTCACACCCTTTTGCATCCGCCAACAACCCGCCCTGCTTGCCACGTCACACCCCCCACCAAGAGGCGCGTCACCCCCCACCCACCTGAAACGCCTCGCCCCGTCATGCGCCACTCCCTTGCACCCTTTCACACCGCCACGTCATATCTCAACCCTCACCTTTTGCCACGTCACACCTACTTGCATCCGCCACGTCCACCAACAACCCGCGCCACTTGCCACGTCACACCCACCCACCCCATGCCACGTCACCCCCCACCCACCTGATACGCGTCGCCTCGTCACGCGCCGCTTCCGTGTTCCCTTCGAAACCGCCACGTCAGCCCCAACCCCGCCCTGGTTGCCACGTCAACCCCAACCCGCCCCATTTGGCCCGCCACATACCGGGAATGGGTTTGTCTCCTGCAACACTAGCACTCGTGCCTTGTCCACGGCGCTCATCGGCGGCGGGGTACCAGCCATAGGCAGGGCTGCCGACCCGCCGGCATAGCTGGCAGGTACTCCACGACGCAGGCCGAGCTGTGCAAACATGGCGTACATCTCAGACCGCAGCGCCTGGAACTCCTCCCGTATAACAAACTGCTCGTGCTCCGCACTTTCACCTAGGGCACCCATGAGCGGAGGAAAAGGTTGTGAAGAATCCCCCCTCTGGCCAAGGGGATCAACGTCTTCTGCAGCAGTCCCGTGTACCCTCACACTATCACGCTGGCGGGAAAAGGGGAGCTCAGGGAAGGGATTGGCATAAGTGCCTGCCTGATGCCCGCGTGAAGGACCGGCGAGGGGGGAGACCGCCCTGCCCCGAGCAGGAGAAGCGTGGAGTTGCCGAAATGGGTACGAGGGTGAGGCGAGTGGGGAGTGCGTGACGGGGGCTGGTGGAGGGGATTCGGATTCCTCTCCTCTTGGCGCGCCGGGTGCCGTCGCAGCGACTTTGCTCGGGCCGGAGTATGGCGTGTAGAACCTTGGTGCTCCTGTGGATAGCGGTGTAACACTCGCTCTTCCGGCAGCCTTCGTTAGCTGCATCCGTTGCACGCTTACGGGTGGCCCAATGCCTGTAACGCGAGGAGCTGAGATGTAGAGGGAGTAGGATAAAGAAATTAGAGTCGATCGGTTTCAATACAGGGCCAGACATGCATGCATAACATCAAAGTTTTGAATCTAAATCGGGTTTAGGGTTGTACTGTTTTGAGACAAGAGGGTTTACCTTGCTTTGCAGATTCGTCGACCTTCTCCTTCCCTGCAGGGGAGAAACAATGTGAAAAAATGGTGTTATTTGGCACGGTTGAGCAGATGGTTCAACAACCACACCAGATGTATTGGCCACAATGCTCACCTTTCTGTTGTCCCTTTGGTTTTGGGGCAGCCTGCGCCTTCTCGTTGCCACCTTTCCGCGGGGTGCTTTGGCGGACGCTGCGACGTTTACCGGCAGGTTCTTTCTTGCCGGTACCCACTGGAACCCCTTTGGCGCGGCCACCCTTTCCTCCTCCATCCCCTTTTGCTTCCAGGCTCCCTTTCTTTTTACCACCCCCTTCACTTTCGACCTTCACCTTACGCGCCTTCGGTTTGCCCGCTGCTTCGCCGCGCGCGGCGTCAACTGCCCCGCGTTTTCGGGAATGGCGAGTCCGGCCCCCCACCTTCCCTGTACCACTCACCCGTCTGCCACGCCCGCCCCGTCCCTTCACTGGCGCCACATCCTCCTCCTCCTCCTCCTCCTCCTCCTCCTCCTCCTCCTCCTCCTCCTCCTCCTCCTCCTCCTCCTCCTCCTCCTCCTCCTCCTCCTCCTCTGCCTCCTCCTCCTCCTCCTCCTCCTCCTCCTCCTCCTCCTCCTCCTCCTCCTCCTCCTCCTCCTCCTCCTCCTCCTCCTACTCCTCCTCATCCTCCTCCTCGTCGTCACCCTGCCCCTCCTCCTCCTCCTCCTCCTCCTCCTCCTCCTCCTCCTCCTCCTCCTCCTCCTCCTCCTCCTCCTCCTCTGCCTCCTCCTCCTCCTCCTCCTCCTCCTCCTCCTCCTCCTCCTCCTCCTCTTCGTCCTCCCCGCCATCATTCTCATCTTTTTCATCCTCCCCAACATCCGCATCATCCTCCTCCGCATCCTCTTCATCCTCCTCTTCCTCCGCATCCTCCTCCTCATCCTCCTCCTCCTCCGCATCACCAGAGTCTTCATTGCCCCGTTTCGGCCTCGTCCCCGTCGCTGCTTTCTTGCCTCTCCTTCCGCCGGATGTTTTTCTTGCTGCGGGTCGGCCCTTCTGGCGCAATGCTTGACTGCCCGCCTTGCCACTAGCTTCCTTGGCGCCTCGCGTTGTCCCAACTTCCGCGCCTCCGGCGTCGTCAGCACTGCCTGTCGTCTGCCGCCTCTTTGCCCGCGTGGTGAGGTCCCCGGGCACGGCGGTGTCATAATCGTCCTCCCCATCGCTCTTCCTCTGCCTATGCCTCCCCCATCCACCAGAAGGAGGAGAGCCACCGACGTCGGCGATGCTGTGGTTAGGATCCTCCATCGACTCGTGTTCCCCCACCTTGTCCTTATCCAGCACAGCTGCAGAAACTTCGACCACGGTCGGCTGGAGCAGCGTCAGATGCTGTTGCGATGCCGCCGCCTCGGACTCCTTGGTTGCGGCATGCTCGGCGTGGGGATCGCCTCCGTGGTTTCCCCCTGTCGCCGATCCCTCTATCTCCGCCGACGGGACTACAAGACTCGCGCTCCCTCGCCCCGGATCTTCGTTGCTGCCAGTGGTGCCGTTGTTTCTCGGACCGGGCTCGGTTCTAGCAGAGGCAACATCCGCATCTTTGTTCACTGTAGAAAGACGCTTGCGTGGCGTTGGTTGCTTCCCCTTGTCTTCCGCTTTCTTGCCGGACTTCTCTTGACCGCGCTCAACCTTTTTTGCCGCCACTTTTTTCCGCCCAATGCCGCGCGCGACGGACGCATTAGTTTTTTTAGCGCCGCCACCACTCTCCCTATCGATCTGTTTAGACGTCCTCCTTGTCGCGCGGCGGCCGGCCTGTTCCTCCTCCATTGCTTGGTTACGTGTTGCACGTGTCATGGTAGTTGTAGGAAAGCAAATTAGCACATCGGGCGGAAGGGTTGAGCCGGTTTCGAAGGGGTACTGCAACTGAATCCCACGATGGGATTATCGACGGTCTATCACTGTTATCTGTATCCGAAAACCGCCGCTTCAACTAAAACTGAAATAGTAGCCACTAAGCACAGAGCTAGGGCTGATTTGGAAAGGCGTGTGTCAAACAGCGAGCAACGTCAAAGTGTTGGCCCAGAGAGTGACGGAAGCAGGTGGGTGGGGCACGAGGGTGGTTGGGGTGGGTTGCAAGACTAGAGAGATTACTGTAACCCTATCAGGCTATATCGGACGGTGTAGGTGTAGCCACCCTAGCTTAAACCCACCAACCGCTTGATTTCAGCCGCTCAATGGCTGAAGTACCTCTTGGCTGGTGCTTGTGTTGCGGGGGGAATCGTTTGAGATGCGTCGGCCAATCACGGTTGCCAACGCATCAATCATTACAAAGGGTACAACGGTTGTGGAACCAAAAGTGCGAAATTAAAGAAATCCCTGCAAAGTACAGTGTTGTCGCGAACGCACAGTGTTGCACATAGCAGCTAAATTAAATTCAAACATACAACAATAGAATTCATCAAACACTTAGTTGCAAATGGTTTAGTATGGGGTTGGGGTAAGTTAATCGGTGATTCTCACGTCACACACACAACGACCGTCCAGAAGTATTACTTGTGACAGATGTACTGCGCACTTTTAGGCTTTGCCACAACGGTTTATCGCCAGCGGACGACATTCTAACACGATGATCAATAGTAACAAACGAGAATCAGTTGTGGTATGGTGTTGGATTGTCATCCATTCTTGCACGGACATTAAACAAGGTTCTTAGAAGGAGTGGTATGAAGCACAGGCCCAACGCACAAGCAGCGATGCGTTATCGACAGCCAGGTTTACACAGTGCGACGATGCAGCGTTCAAGCCTGTGCGTTGCGCGACATGGTGAATCCGTTGTGGTATGGTGTTGGACTGTCATCCATTCTTGCACGGACATTAAACAAGGTGCTTAGAAGGAGTGGTATGAAGCACATGCCCAACGCACAAGCGGCGATGCGTTATCGACAGCCAGGTTTACACAGTGCGACGATGCAGCGTTCAAGCCTGTGCGTTGCGCGACATGGTGAATCCGTTGTGGTATGGTGTTGGACTATCATCCATTCATGCACGGACATTAAAAAAGGTGCTTAGAAGGAGTGGTATGAAGCACAGGCCCAACACACAAGCGTTGATGCGTTATCGACAGCCATGTTTAGACAGTGCGACGATGCAGCGTTCAGGCCTGCGCGTTGCGCAACTTGGTGAATCCGTTGTGGTATGGTGTTGGATCGTGCTCCATTCTTGCACAGACATTCAACAAGGTGCTTAGAAGGAGTGGTATGAAGCACACGCCCAACGCACAAGCGTAGATGCGTTACCGACAGCCATGTTTAGACAGTGTGACGATGCAGTGTTCCGGCCTGTGCGTTGCGCGACATGGTGAATCCGTTGTGGTATGGTGTTGGATCTGTCAGAATAGGAACGAAGGAATGATTGACTACCAAGAAGTTTGGGTACAAGTAGGAAGCCTAGAAATGTTGTACCCTATATGAACTACCCCACTACAGCCTACACAGACTATAGCATATAAGTTTGACACACCCCCATAGGCAAAGTGGGGGAGAACAAGAGGTCACAAGACCGGTCAAGAGAGGCAAAGCAAGCTCAGGGTGGATCACGACGTCACCACGCAGTCCGAGCAAAAGCAAATGGCCACAAGGCCAGTTCACATGCAGAGTTATATAAAGGAGAACAAGCAATACAGTGATCACAACCTAGCAAGGGTAAACATGCAGGTATAAGTATAGAGATCACAGTACAAGCAGAGTCAAGAAGTAAGCAAGTGAGGCACAGTAGGCACAAGGCCTAGAACAGTACAGAAACGCTGATGATCACAAGGCTGGAGTGTCTTGGTGAAGACATCAGCAGTGTTGGCCTGAGTGGCCACGTAAGCAAGTCGAAGCTGACCACGCTGCTGCAACTCTCGAGCAAGGAAGTAGCGCAGAGCGATGTGCTTCGTTCTGTGCTCCAGTCTGTGCTCCTGACACAAAGCAATCATGGCCTTGTTGTCAACGTACAGCACTGGAGGAGAACGAGGCAGCTCTCCCAGGTCGGTCAGCAGGTAGGTGAGCCAGCATAGCTCCTGTGCAGCCATGGCCCCTGCGTAGATCTCAGCCTCACAGCTGGAGCTGAGAACAGAAGAAGAGCGGGTAGACCGCCAAGAAACAGAGCCGGAGCCAAGGCTGAAGGTGTAACCCTGTGACGACCGCTGCGTAGCCAAGTCGTCAGCCCAGGAAGCGTCTGCGTGACCAGTGAGGACAACTCTAGCCCGTCCTCCAAGCACGAGCCCCATGTCCGACGTACTGCACAAGTAGCGCAATACCCTCTTAGCGGCATCCATGTGCTCCTTCCTGTGACGGCCAGGAGCGACATAGCGTGCTAGGATGCTAAGAGGGTATGCAAGGTCAGGTCGAGTGCAGGTCATCAGGTACATGAGGCAGCCCACAAGCTCTGGGTACGGGCCTTTCGGCTCTACGGACTCGTCCGAAGGTGGAGCTGAGAGCGAGTGACCGGTAGGCAGAGGAGTGGACTGAGGCGAGGAGTACGTGAAGCGGAAGCGCTAAAGGACCTGCTGCACCATGTGTGACTGAGTCAGGGTAATGGTGCGCTGTGCTCTGTCCCGGGTGATCTGTAAGCCAAGATAGCTTGTCAGCTCACCCAGGTCTGTGCACGTGTGTCTCTTCTGCAGCTCCGACTTCACGTGGGCGAGTCCCTCAGTGTTAGGAGTAGCAAAGACCAATTCGTCTATGTACACGAGAACGTAGAACGGCGGCAGAGTGGTGTCGGTGCGTAGAAACAGCGACGGGTCAGCAGTAGAAGGAGCAAACCCAAGAGCAGCAAGAGTAGTCCTCAGTGTGTCGTGCCACTCACGGGGTGCCTGGCGGAGACCGTAGACTGGCCGCCGGAGGCTCCACTGGGTACCAGCAGGAAACGACCCAGTGAAGCCTGGTGGGCGGCGCAGCCAGATCTCCTCGTGCAGGTTGCCCTATAGGAAAGCAGTGCTAAAGTCAAGAGAGTGAAGCTCGTAGTCACGCTGAGCGGCGACGTGCAGCAGAACCCGAAGAGTGGTCATCTTCGGGGTAGGAGAGAAGGTATGGAAGAAGTCAACTCCCTCTCGCTGACTGAAGCCTCGTGCAACGTAACGCGCCTTGAAGACAGGCGGAAAACCCGGCGGCCGCTTCACCCTGAAAATCCACATGCCACTGACGATGTTCGCCCCAGGTGGGGGAACCTCGTCAACGTAGGTGCCTGTGGACTTCCAGGAAGCCATCTCTGTGTCCATGGCTGTCTGCCACTAAGAGGAGTAGGGACCCTCTATCGCCTCTGCGTAAGAGCGCGGGGTCGGGATGTCTGGTGCATCCGGGTCTCCCTCAGGGGCAACCAGCATGGACACGAGATGAGGTAAGGCAGCGGCAAAGCACTCAAACTCCTCCTGTTTGTCCTCAAGGACGTCCGTGCCAAGAGCACACTCACCCCCGACGGACGGAGGACAGACAGACTCAGACTCAGACTCAGCAACAAGACTAGCGGCGTAGTCTAGACGACAGGTGGCAGCAAAGTCAACAAGCTCAGCAACTAGAGCAGACGCAGCAGTGGACTCAAACGAAGGGTCAGTGACAACAGTGGCGAGGAAACGCGTGACAGTTGAACTAGCAGCACGAAGGGAGTCAGACTCCGGGTCCGGGCCGTCAGGAAGAGAGGACGCAGGAGGAGACGGCAGAGGGACACGCTGTGGAGCAGTGGAAGGACGCAGAGTCATATAGTGAGTGCCTGGGACAGGAGGAGGACGCTGACGCGGAACACGACCAGTGCGGACAGCGCGAACAGGCGACTCAGGACGAGACTTAGGCGACACAGGACGAGACTCAGGCGCACGACGCTCCGTAAGACCTCTAGTCGGTCCAGAGTAAGGAGAAGGACCAGGCAGTGGAGAGGCTGGCAGTAACTGTGACTGCGACTGGACAGGCGGTGGACTCAGTAAGGGAGGAGGAGGAGGACCAGTAGAAAGCGGTAGGCCAAGAACCTGCTGAAGGAACGGAATGTAGTACGGCCGCGGCCGCGCAGCGCCTCCAGAAACAGCAGAGACAGCACCAGTACCATCAGCTCCAGGGTCTCCAACTCCAACTCCCGCAGCACCACCAGTGGCAGCACCTCCAGCAGCACCAGCTCCAGTAGCACCTCCAGCAGCACCAGCTCCAGCAGCACCTCCAGCAGTAACAGCTCCAGCACCTCCAGCTCCAACTCCTGCAGCACTACCAGCCCCAGCAGCTCCAGTACCTCCAGTACGAGCTCCTCCGGGACATGCAGCGCCAGCACCTCCAGCAGCTCCAACACCTCCAGTACGAGCACCTCTAGAACCAGCGGCTCCAGCAGCTCCAACACCAGCAGAAACTCCAGCTGCTCCAACAGCTCCAGCAGCACCTCCAGTAGCTCCAGCAGTACCTCCAGCTGCTCCAGCAGCTCCAGCACCAGCAGCACCTCCAGTGGCTCCAGCAGCACCTCCAGCGGCGCCAGTACCTCCAGCACGAGCAGCACGGCTACAGCGTCGAGCGTACCACTCACGCAGCCCCTGTGGAGAGAGGGGCTACCGCCGTGACGAGACACCGGAAGGACCTCCAGACACAGCACGCTCAGGCACAGCACCCCCAGACTCAGCACCCCCAGGCTCAGGACGCTCAGGCTCAGCACCCCTAGGCTCCGCACCCCCAGACTCAGCAACCCCAGGCTCAGCACCCCCAGGCCCCGCACCCGCAGGCTCAGCACCCCTAGCAGCACCAGAGTCAATAGCTACCTCGACCGGCTCGACAGGGTCTACCTGGGACACACCTGAAGGGGCAGGACCCTGAGGG